GCGTGTTATTTGATCACAAGTGCGAGACATCACAAGTGTGTGAGCAAGGAGGTTAAATTGGTGTGAGCCAGCGAGCCATGACGTCACGACAATAGATACGAGACGTTAACGAGTTATGCGAGGTATCGACTGAGATTTGTGGAGTACAATTCAAAAAACAACTATAGGTCTAATAATGAATTATAGCGCGACATGCGGACGTTGGTACGAGTAGGTTAGTCTACAAACGTCGCCTAAAGTAATTGATTTTACCCGGCAGAACGAAAGAAGGAAACTCCGCTTTTCAGTCGTCTTAGGCGCCTGTTTTTTTGACAAACAATGACCTTTCAGAGGTCAAATTGCTGTCAAGAATATGAATTGGCTGCTTCGCAGCAAAAAGAAAAAAAAATTAAAGCAACAATACATTGTTTAAACCATTTTCCAGTTAACTGTGTACAATTTACAGACATCGTGCACCCGGAAAGAAACTACAGTATCCAAACCCTGGAGTACAGTATGGTACTGTAATTCGAATCGAATCAAGCTTGTTGCTGATCCCAGAGGAAACAATAATCGTGTTGGGCTACCGGAAATGGGTAGTTAGCCCTAAGTTTGTTTTAATTGTTGACCTTGTTATGGGCGTGATTGCTAACGTACACCAAGAGGCAAGATGTTTTGTCTGTACAGTATTCAATGACTTAAAACTAATTCATCTTATCCCATAATAATGGTTGTTGTAACGTTTAGTGGAAAATACAAATTCAGTACTGTACTAAAACACAGAAATATAGTACAATCATAAAGTATCCCAAGGCTACAAAATTACCTTATTTTTTATTTATTGAACACATATATAAAGCATTACTACAGTATGTCTTTAACTAGTTTTTTATGCGGTTTACATTTACAGTATACAGTAGTATAGTCATCCACAAACGCACTCCAGTATTTTCTGGCCACAAATGAAGAATATATAACATGAACTTAATCAGTTCAGGGAGTTGTTATAAATCAATTACAACCGCAAGAAGGCATGAAGGTACTTGAAGGCATGGCACAGAATTGACGCGAAGTCTTTAGAGGTGCTAATGAATCACAGTCACATAAAACAAACAAGTGTAAAGTTTAATTTTGGAAGTAGGACAATAGAGTACTTATCAGTGGCGTAACGCCTATGCGCTCTCGTGCGGCGGTCCGCAGTTCCCCAGATTTCTAGGGGCCCCGGGGCCCCTACATTGGGTCCTTGGTCAGAAAAGAGCATTGTTAATACATAACAGAATAATGTGTCTCTGACATCGAATGTAGGACGTATTGTATTATATCCAGTGACGGCTTAAGGTAATAATAAATTTATCAAATTTGTAAAAAAGAAATAGAGATTTAAAAAAAAAAAAAAAAAAAAAAACAAAAAAACAAACGAAAACATATTAAAATTTTAAGTCAGTGCGTGCCATTTCCGGCCATCATATCTAGAGGTGTCATAATAAAGGTGGTACAGACCCTTCGTCTATGAAAGTCACTGGGCCCTCTATTTTAAATCCCTACTAGATCCTCCACTAATATATTTTTTTTTCGTCGTTAAAACAATTACAATGACAAACATGATTTAAAACACATCTAACCCCACAATGTAATTGGCGACCGTGACAGGAAAGGGCCCCAGTCTCGAAAAGCCACAGGGCCCCCCGGCCCCAGCGTTACGCCGCTGGTACTTATTACAATGTAGGTATACCGGTCATTATTAGCGAATATTTGTCAAATAATTTACAAACGATATTGAAATACATAGTCTGATACCGTAATTAATCTGATTTGACTTCTTAAAAACAAGTTTTTATTGTTTGAAACTACAAAGTACAAGTAACAATGGCTATACTGTAATAGTGCTGCACAAACTTCTAGGCCATGTTTATTTTTTGTGCAGACTTCTCTTTTAACAGACACAGTACACACCATCGTAATTACTAAGCCCTAGTTCTAACGAGTTTGAAAAATTTAATCGAACAACCAAACGCGTTTAAATCTATTGCTTCCGTAAAAACCTTTAGATAAATTATCAGTGTCCTCAGGTTGAACCGTCAGACAGCGGATGTGCCAATACTAGTGAAAGGGGGTGAGAGTAGATAAGAATCTAGTAATCAAAACACACACATTTATTCGACTAAAATTTATACACTTCGAAGTCACTTCTCATCACGTTCGGCTTGTCTCCATGTTATTTACAAAATGGTACAGTTATGAGTACGAACCTTTCCTGATCAGTGATCACATATCATATCGTTAATTTTTAGTAACAAACGCTCGTTAAACTCTTCTACTGTAAACTTGTAAGAATTTAAATTGGCCATTTAATAATTTGAATTATGAAATGAAGCTGTTACAGATTAAGCCTTATTCATTAAATATTTAAACGCAAAGTAAAATTTTCTCACATTTCCTTCTCTCTCCATTTCGTCGGAAGCGTTTGGCGCAGCGGGAACGGTTTGGTTTCCCAACCTCGAGGTTGGGGTTTCAATCCTTCGTTGTGTATTTCGCTTGTGGGCTTTGAGCAAGGCATTTTATCTGCATTGTTTCTGTCCAGTCCACCCAGGAGTATAAATGGGTACACGGTGGGGTTGCGCTAGTGTTGTATCTTGTTTCTGTTTTTCTTACATTTTGATTATCTGTGTTTCTTATTTGAATAATGAATAAATATAAAATGTTCGGTACATTAAGAATAATATATACAATAGTATCAGTATGTAGTACAGTAACATTACTTATATTACTGTATACTCAGGGACGGATTAAAAAAACGGATCGCCCAAAACGCCTCAGCAGTATTTTCGGGCGTCTAGAAAACAACAAATTTCGCGGGGGCATACCTGGCCCTGGACCCCCATAGGGTAGTGTTGTCTCGGCCAATCCCACTACGGCCCCTCCCCTCCCCTTGGACATTTCTAAATAAGCCCCTGATTGGCTAACTTCCATATCATAAAATATAAAAACGATATATCCTTGTTCGTGTTAATTAATTTATACATTAGGTCAACTAAAACATTTATTATTTCCATTTCAGAATTATTTAGAACAGTATGGATTTGTATCCCCAACTAACGCAGAAGCCGGGCGTTTGAGAACAGTGAACGAATTCACTCAAGGTATAGAAAGGTTCCAGACGTTCTACGGGCTGACCGTCACTGGTACATTGACACAAGAAACGACAGAATTGATGGAAAAACCAAGATGCGGCTTAAAGGATTTCACTGAAACGCCTTCTAATATTCGCGCGAGACGATATGCACACGTGGGAAGCAAGTGGCACAAAAATGACCTGACATATAGGTAGGATACTTGTATTGGAGGTACTAATATTTTAATATATTAGGAATATTGGAAAACTTAATATTCTTAATGGTCGTAGCCACCCTTGGTGTAATAAACAGTTGCCTTTGTCCCTGGTTCGAGTCCACCCGCTGCTCTCGTTGTGTTTCAGCTGAGGGCTGAAATACTATATAGGGCCTATCCAATAGACAACATATTTTTTTTTTTAGTTTAAGCCGTTGGAACTGTGTGCAATATGGCCATGTACACGTTAAAGAACACGGTACACTCTTCAGATAATAAGATAAAAAACACTGTTTCCCAATGCACTGTCCAGAAGTACCCCACTGTAGATAAGTCTTGGACACACCGACGTAATCCTATCAAATCACCAGAATTGCCATCCTGTCGATACAGCTACCATCAACGAGTTTAAATAACAAATTTTAATTTCTTCAACAGAATTATGATTTACTCTAATGATTTGAGCCAGTCCGATCAGCGAACAGCCATCTACAATGCATTTAAAGTTTGGAGTGACGTAACTCCACTAACATTCCGAGAAGTTGGTTCTGGTGCTGCTGACATCCTAATCACGTTTGCCAGTTTTCAGCATTATGACAGCTACCCATTCGATGGACCAGGTGGTACACTTGCACATGCGTACTTTCCTTCACATGGAATCGGTGGGGATGCTCATTTTGACGAAAGCGAGACTTTTTCTGTTTATGGAAATGAAGGTATGAATGTGACGTCTTATAAATACAATTAATCATTGAACATCATTGGACATCTATATGCCGAAAATTATTATTATTTTATTCAGAGCGGTCATTTGACGTCAAGTAGTTAAAAATCACCTCAAATCGCCTTATTTTGTGAGCAAGTCCCCCCTCACCTAATCATCGAGCTCCCTACTTAACCTTCGCGCCCTCTGACAGCCCCACCCCCTCCCCACCCAATTTCAAGAATTCTAGCTAGATATGCCACTGTTTGACTCCTATCAATATCAAAATTTTACTACAAAATCACATTTTTTCAGAAGCGGTTTGGCGCAGCGCGAACGGTTTGGTTTCCCAAATTTGAGGTCGGGGTTTCAATCCCTCGCTGTGCATTCGCTTGTGTCCTTAAGCAAGGTAGTTTATCTGCATTGCTTCTCTCCACCCAGGAGTAAATGGGTACCTGGTGGGATTGCCTGTATGTTGCCTTTGCGCCAATATGGCAGCAACACTTAAGCCTGTGGACCCAATGACCAGGGAAAACAAAACGCTTTGTAACCTAAAGGGGGCGCTATATAAATACTAAAGTAACAATAATTTCCTTTTGTAAGAAATAAAAAAAGTCCGTTATTATTTCTTCAGGTACCGATCTGTTCATTGTTGCTGCTCACGAATTTGGCCACAGTCTGGGACTGGGACACTCAGGCGTAATGTCGGCGTTGATGGCGCCATTCTATCAAGGTTACATATCAGATTTCACCTTACCATATGACGATCAGCTTGGAATTCAACGTTTATACGGTAATTTTAAAATATTCAATGTTATTTTATTGATAAATCTGTTTTTATTATTATTTATATTATTTTTTTTCTGCTCAAAGACTTTCGACTTATTACCATTCTATTGCATAGATTTTCATTTAAACAAATGGAAATGATGCTGACGACATAGTTAACTGACGCGCATCATGTCTGAATTCGTATATAAAAAATATTTGTACATACAAAAATAACCATACATTAAGTTAGACGATTGGGGGAGTTATAATATAAAATCTTACACTATTATCACTACCGTATGAGCAGAAACATTACATACAAAAACAAAGGCTCTGTATGCATTGTGATGTTGCCTATGTGTACTCTAGTGATTGTTGAATTTTTAGGATATTTGGCTATGACAGTGAGCATATAACTTCATGTTATAAATCCGCAATTAATCCCAAGGGAGAACAGTAACTCTGGCCTTTGATAGAAAAAAAAAATTAGCTACACTCGAAATGGATGCATTATTAGTGTTAACCCTGGAGATTTTACACTCGGGAACAATGAAGTTTGTTCAGTCTCGTGTATATTAACCATTACTGCATTTGCAGGTTCGAAGCCCAGAGAAGAGGTCCCAACAAAAGCACCAACTAAGGCACCAGCGGTTGTTACCAAACGGCCAGATATAAATATACCCGTAAATCCAGAGAAACCAGTAACGCGTTTACCACCGGCTCCACCAACCACTACTAAACAAATTACCCAGAAACCTGTCGTGAACGTAGATACTTGTAACAAGGGATACGATGCTATAGGCTTCATAAGATCAGAGTTATTCCTTTTCAAAGTAAGTTATTTTTATAAACATTATTGAATTATTATTGTGGTGTATGGAAAAATCTTGTATAAACCATTTCGGCCATTAATAGAATAATAAAATGTCGATGTTATATGTACTCACTATAAATATATTTCTTCCGTCTCCCGGAACTCTTCAGTATAACTGAGTAGACTCAAAGAGTATAAATAGAACAAGTTTATAGCTAAGTGAGTACATTCAACATCGTACTATACAGTATTATTATTATAATATTAAGGGCCGAAATGGCTTATACTGCACAAGACTTTTCCATAATCACAATATATGTATGTCGACTTGTCAAGATAATCTATCTCGCCATGTCGACATGATATGTATATTATGTCGACTTGACAACATAATTATCTTGACAAGTCGTCAAGTCGAATGGCACTTAGGTGCTTCCGTACACTCGGGAACAATGAAGTTTGTTCAGTCTCGTGTATATTAACCATTACTGCATTTGCAGGTTCGAAGCCCAGAGAAGAGGTCCCAACAAAAGCACCAACTAAGGCACCAGCGGTTGTTACCAAACGGCCAGATATAAATATACCCGTAAATCCAGAGAAACCAGTAACGCGTTTACCACCGGCTCCACCAACCACTACTAAACAAATTACCCAGAAACCTGTCGTGAACGTAGATACTTGTAACAAGGGATACGATGCTATAGGCTTCATAAGATCAGAGTTATTCCTTTTCAAAGTAAGTTATTTTTATAAACATTATTGAATTATTATTGTGGTTATGGAAAAATCTTGTATAAACCATTTCGGCCATTAATAGAATAATAAAATGTCGATGTTATATGTACTCACTATAAATATATTTCTTCCGTCTCCCGGAACTCTTCAGTATAACTGAGTAGACTCGGGAGACTGAAGAAATATATATTTATAGCTAAGTGAGTACATTCAACATCGTACTATACAGTATTATTATTATAATATTAAGGGCCGAAATGGCTTATACTGCACAAGACTTTTCCATAATCACAATATATGGTCCTAACCGGAGTAAATGTGATGGTGCAACAGATGCAACATTTATTAGATTATTATTTATTATAAAGCTTTGTCTACACTATCAAATTTCATCAAAGAAGCGTCACATAAAATGAATTGAACACGTTCAACTTTTTTTGATACAATTTGATAATATGTGATATGACGTCACTGAACCTTATATGGGCATATCACATTTTTTTTCACATAAAATTTGATAGTGTAGACAAGGCATTATAAAAGTTATGTAATCGATTTTGGCAATCCTTCTCGGTGTGTTATATAACTTAAGTCTTCAGTCACGAGTGGCAATTATCTACCATTCTTTGACATCGCGTTTTTCGTTTTTTCAAGCTGTTCAGGGTCTGTTTAGTGTGCCTACATATATAATTAAAATCATATCAATATACATTTTCCAGGTAAACACGTTTATAAATAGTTACTAGTGAGTACTTAACGAGGTACGGTACTTAGTAAGTATTTTAATTACTTTATTTGTTGTATTTGTTGCAAAACCTGAATTAGTATTTGGGGACGTCAGAACTGAAGATTAATTGATATGATTTTTGTTTTCACATTTAATTATCTACGTTTTGTTTTACTTTTTAGAAAGATAAGTTTTGGAGAATGGATATGCAGGCTTACCCATACGAAGGTTATCCTCTACCATCCGATAGTTTTTTCTTCCATCTACCAAGCGACATTGACGCTGTATATGAGAGAGACTATGATGGAAAGATAGTGTTCTTCAAAGGTGATTAATAAAGTGATTATATAGGGCAGTTTGACCAAGGCATACAAGAAATTAAAGTTCCTGTTGCATTATGACAATAGTATGTTCATCCCACATAGAACAATTTCGAGTATCTTAAAAATATTCCTAAAAATTAAAATACCTGTAATATAAAACAGAACAAAAACCTCCAGAACATTATTATTATCAGCAAAAATATTTCTCCTATCGAAAATGTGTCATCATTTGTTGGTATTCTGCGCCTATTACACTTATTCGATATTATTATTAATGATGAACTCTTTGTTGTGAAATTTAATTAAAACATTTAACTACTCGTTTAGAAAGATATAGGCCTAATAACTTATCAACTTCCATTAAAAGACAAATCAGTTTTCGAAGATAAGGCATAAAAACTTTATTACGAAAACCTTTAAATTGTTTACCAGGCTATATATAGTCAATTAGACTCCACGAAAAAAATTACGGTACCCTATATGCAATACATACTTTTTAACTACTGTATTTCTTAATTTAATCTTTTTGTATTTGGTAAACAGGTAAAAAATATTGGGAATACGCTGGAAACAACCCTGAAGATGGCTTTCCTAAACTGATCAGCGAACTCGGAAATTTACCAATTAAGATTGACGCCTCTTTAAGTTGGGGAAACACAGGCAAAACATACTTCTTCAAGGGAAAAGAATATTGGAGATATGATGAATATGATAAGAAAGTTGACAAAGACTACCCGAAGCTGATTAAAACTAACTGGGGAGGTGTTCCAGCTTACCTTAATGCTGCATTTAGGTGGAAAGACGGTGAGTTTTCCAATCACTTGCACTAAATACATAGTCCCGGTAATCTTGGCTTGTATTTGGTATTGTGCTATACAACACTACTTAATTTTCATTCATCTATACACAACGTTTCGATCATTAAAATAAAGGCCGATAAATTTCAAGCAGAGAAGCCTTAATACTATGCTTAATGTTGTAAGGCTTGAAGACTGCTTAATTTGATTTAGCAAGCCAAGCCAGTATTTATGAGTCAGAAATAATTTTCTTTTACAAACTTGTAACGATGAAGCTTGACCAGTTGAATACGATTGCTATTCAGTAAAACGTTTGTTAAAAGATAATTGATCACGAGGAATATTAACTGCTGTATTCACTTACAGTATTATTTTTTTGGCTAACTCAAATGTTAACGTCATGCATTTAGTGAACCCGCATTGATTTTATTTAGTGCTTGTTAAACGTATATAAATACTGAGCTCTATAACGTGTGGGAATATGGCTGCTCATAATAACGTCACTAGTCAAATACGGTATACGTTATTTATGGACTACTATGAAGTTGAAACGTAATATTTCCCTTTTAAACAAACTGTACATTATACAAGTAAAAATTAAAGGCTTGTGGCATTATTAAACTTTTTATTTTTTATATTTTCCACAGGATATACTTATTTCACTAAAGGAAGACGTTTTTGGCGCTGGAATGAACGAACTGGCAAGGTGGATCCTGGGTACCCTCAGTTATTTGGTACAGAGTGGCTGGGATGTAGTGCCAATCTAATGCTGCCTGAAGGCAATGACACATCGATAATAGCTAAAAATATTAATAATGGCGGAGTCCGAAATACATTTACCAGCTTCAACGCAATATTAATTACCATAGTAACATTCCTCGTTCAACAAGTCTTTCATCGGTACTCATGAGGTTTTTTTGTAACTGTAAAAATATTAGGTTAAGTTTCATATGTTAATAACTTTTGTACAATTTATTATTTATGATTTAGAAAATTTTGTAATCTGTTGTAGAAAATTGTTAAAGATAGTAAAAATGTTTTTCTGCAACTGGCAAATATAATTTTCGAAAATATCTTTTCGAGAACGGTCGATGAGGAACTGCAACAAAGATTACAATTCTCAATCAATTACATTGAATGTACTTGTAAGTAAATGTGAGAAAAATGCAAAGTGATGTTTATTTTTAAGATTCTGAGGAAGTTTAAATCAAAAGAAAGCATAACACCAAAGAAAGTTTCAGTGAATGATACGAAATTTGTGACATTGGCAAAGTAATATATTATGTACTTGAGGGAAACGATGGAAACACAATTCGGATTTTTTTTTTGTTATTACAGTATTGATTTTAATGAGAAAAACCATAATTTAATATGATTGTATTTATGTATTTATACTTCATATATTTATTTAGTAAAGTTTGCTCATAATGGGCATTTTCGCCAAGCTCCGCCATTGGATATTTTTGTTATGGCGTGGGGCGTTTTCAGCGAAGTTACATAACTTGCGTGTTTTTGAGACAGGAGCGTATTATGGCAAGTGCTGATTAGTTACGTGCAAAGTTGATTGACAATAAGGAAAGATTCATTATTATAAACTCATGTTAAATATATACTGTCTGTCTTTTATTAAAAGTACAGTTAGAATGACAATAATTTTCGTTATTAATATTGTTATTATATATAATAACAATATTATATATATTTTCATTATTCTTTTTATATGAAATAATATTGTTAAATTATTTAATTGAATTTTTCCAGATTTAGCCAGACAGTATATCTTTAAAACGTAACTATTCCGTAATTATAATTAAGGTTATTTAAATTTATGTTCTATATATTTAACACAAGAATCGTGTAAGCAATTTTCAAAGTTTTTGAAGATATTTAGAATTCAGCACCGTTGATTTGTATTGAGTTCTGTATTGTATGACAGACATTTAGGTATGATTCGATTTTACATAGGCCTTATTTTACAAAGAATGTGCCTCGCAGGCGAGGGATAAAAGAAATTGCAGAACGAATGGGCGGGATGTTTTAATACTCTACATGCAGTTCATGAAAATCTGTTAGGGGATATAAGCAGGATTATTGATGTTTATTATTTATACTTCAGTTTAAAAACATCATCTTAGCATTTACTCTTGGTGAATACTAAACGTACCTAATAAATCATATTAATAATATGTATAAATAAAAAAATACTGTAATGTAATAATCATTTTTGTATAATAAATTAAATTTAAACTACGTTGCGTTAGTTTGAACTAATTTTTGATGAATAGTGAAAAAGAGTAGTGTAAAAGCAAGGAGCGCTAATGGATACAATTTACATTTACATATATATATATATATATATATATATATATGTATATATATATATACATATATATATGTATAGGCCTATACATATACATATACATATATACATATACATATACATATATGGAAATGGAAGTAGTGAACTGAATTGATAAAAGAGACAATAGGCATATCATTTTCATTTAATTACTACATTTATTACCCTGGTAGGACAAATCATATAAAATTCATCCTAATCATGGCAGCAATAGGCTATCCATATTATTACATTATTCAGTAACTTACAATCTACAAAGATAAACAATTCCTTTTATTTGAACTGGAATATTTCATATAATTGATACTATGTTTATAATAAAGAAGCATTACAAAAACACAAACATTGCAAAAAAGAACAAAAGACAAAAAGAAATAACTGTCAGAGCCTAGGAGAGATAATATATCGCTTGCTAATAGTAAAGGCCTTCCCAACAACACAATCAAAACAAACAGATATCATTGAAATTACAACCTAAAGATTATTTCTTCTTAAAAAATTGTACGGAATCAGAATTAATTATGTTGTTAAAAGGGCAATTCCATTGGTATGGGAAAAATGATAGTTGATATGCACGAGTTTTTGGAACCACGAAAGTTGTTGATAGGCCTATGTAGCAAATATATTGTGAAGTAGCTCAAACTAAAAGTTAATATGATGATCAGTGTCGGACAAGAGTTTCCAACTCTTAATTTAAGAAACAAATAACAACAATAGAGTTTAAAAAAAAAAAATACGTTCAAAATGTTTTCTAACCGACCATCTGGCAAAGCCATAACATTTTGTACTAGCTCAAAATGATGATAGAGATGGTGGTCTATCTGTAAACTTGCGGCAATGGGTCCCCACTCTTCTTGATCCGCCACTGATGACGCAGTTGTCTTATTATTTGTAATATCTTAGATTGTTGATGATGCTGTGTGTAGCCAAAACTGTTCAAAACATGACTATCGACAATACAAACGCGAACCTTAATTGTGCGCCCTCTATTGATACCGAAATCACTTCGAAACTGAAACTGAGGAAACTTTGAATACAGTATTATAGGCCTATGCTGGATCATGTTAAATATGCTGATTCTTTTCTGCTTTGGATCGAATTTGTAAATTTGTCTCATGTTCTTGTAATTGCTGTTCAGTAATAAAGAATATCAGACGTACTACAGTACAATTAATATTGTAAGCTACATTACATGCTATTATTTTTTTATTTATTTCTAATCCTTCGAAAGAGGAACTGACAAAACTTCAAGGGCTTTCGCAGATAAGCAGAAGTTTAAAAATGTTATTAGGAGACGTGACTATCTACTGCACTGCCAACAAAGGCATCCACGATCAATATCATTAAAAATGTGTGTGGGCTATTAACGTTCATTCAATCTGTTCGTGAATATTGTTATAATGTATTCATAATTATTTGCCTCTTAATACTGTGTAGTACCTGGTGATCCTTGAAGTTGAACGTATACTGAACTATGATATAGGCGAATGTAGGATATACATATTTATATATTCGAGTCCATCTCAAAGAAGACTCTTTTCGTAGCTCTTATAATCGTAGAAGTTTTGCCAAAGTGAACGCAACTATGACAATATGTATACTGTAACTCGTTAAAGAAGCTGGATTACCAGAAGCACAGCCGAGCCAATCCTCTCCAAAATTTCTAGGGTAAATAGTTTCGTTTACTTGGTTCAGGCTGACGTCAAACTGCCAGTATCGAGTGCCCTTTACGAAGTAAGTATTTCCTACATATGACAAAAAAAAAAAAACAAACAAACAAACAAAAACATGTTACATACAGTCGGTTATATACTATAATAACGTTTGATTACATAACAGAGAAACAGCCCTTCACAATAGTCACAAAAGTAAAAGAAAGAAATAGTAACTTGCGTCAACATGTAGCACACTGTTAATTAATGATCAATTTCAAATTCCCTTTCAATTCATTATTTTCGTTTCGTTGGTGAGGCACATCATAGAGAAAATAGAATGGGCACATAACGCCAAGTTTACATAAAATTGCTACACACAATTGCCGGCAGCCTTCAGCAACACTGATTGGTCGGTCAAATGGAACGTCAGCAAAGGGTTTACGTGGCCTGGATATCACGGTCTACGGAGAGCTAACATTAGGAATATCGAACGTTCTCCGAAAATTATCATGTCAGCATAGGACTGTGACACTGACAAAATTTCACTATTTTGATAATTAACAATATGACATTAAAAAACATACCATCAAGCCATCTAAATGCTGCATCTAAGTCATCGGGGACGCCAGGCCATCCAGCCGCTATGCTTCTTGGGTAATTGTCATCCACACGTCCACTTGGTTCATTGTAGCGCCAATATTGACTTCCCTTAAAAAAGTATGTGTAACCGGTATCACCCCAATTCAGCGCTGCGTCAAGGTCGATAGGTAGATCGCCGAGGTTAAATATGGAGGTGGGAAATCCGGGTAAAACGTTATTTCCGTTGAATTCCCAATATCTATCACCTTGAATACATTTTAAAATAATTATATTTGATACTGACGCTTTATCCACACTATCATACTTTACATATATAGGCCTATATATACAT